TTTTTTTTTTTTTTACCAATTATCCAAATAATGTTTAATCTTAGAAAGCTATTATTATCAGGACACATGAGCATAACGGTTAGCAGATCAATGAATGAGAGGGCAGCGTTACCAGAGTTGCCCATATACCACACCTTGTTACAACACAGTAGGGCTATTGCAGACAGAAACAATACTGTACTACATCGATGTTTCCTGTCAGCTTGATTTCTGAGTGGACTTTGCTGTTCCGATGAGCACTCACATGGGCCGTGAGCGACTGAGCGGAGCACACACGCGCATAGAGCGGGATAACGCACACACAGAGCGGGATAATACCATACAGTCTATGGATAATACACACACGCATAGAGCGGGATAACACACACACACACAAAGTGAATCCTGAGCGGTGAACTCATTTTCGACATCCAGAATTTCTGTGCATCTCTAATTATTGGCGGTATTAGAAATGGATATTATATAATAGCTGCTTTTTTTGAACATTTTAGCAATTTAAAAATATAAAAAAATGATTTTTTTACACAGCACCCCGGTTGGGAAACACTGCTCTAAATAATGCCGCGATTGGGGCTTGAGGAAGTGACGTCACCTGCGTCTGCGCAGTGCGACCTGATGCAGCCCCTGAAGCGAGACCCAGGAAACAGAAATACTGCAAAATAATAATAATAACGAGACGAAATAACGTTATAACATTTCGTTTCGTCTCGTTTTGGTCAACGAAAATGAAGAGACATTTTAGCATAGTTTGTATTTTGTTAGCCACATTTCGTCTCGTTTTTATTCGTCAACGATATTGCATTGTACATTTAATTATCGTCATCGTCACATGACCAGCATTTTCGTCTCGTCTCGGCTTGTTTTCGTCACACGTTTTCATTTTATAGTTTTCGTCACAAGGTTCGTTGACGACTATATTTAGTCATAATTTTCGTTGACGAAAGCAACACTATCAACCATCGATCCACACAATTTGAGGTATCATTCAGCACAAACATTATGGGATCACTTACAAGCTGAAGTTTTATTTATTCAATTAGGATTTTTTTTCAGTGCTCAAATGGATACTTTACTCAAAAATGAAAATTCCATCATATTTACTTACCCTCATGTCATTCTAATGACCCTATTTTTTCTGTTTTTAGTTTTATGTTGTTGTGTTATGTTGTTGTTTTGTATTGTGTTTTTATGTTCTGTTTATGTATTTTCGTTTTGATTGATTGATTTGTTATTCCAGTGACTTTTTTTCTGTTGAACACAAAAGAAGGTATTTTGGAGAATGTTTCGTTTGGTTTAGTTATTGCGAATAAAACTAAATAAAATAAATAAATAATAATAAAGTAAATAAATAAATAAACCAAAACAACATTGGATCACATTGATTTTCATTGTATAGACAGAACAGTGAAGCATTTTTCAATAAAGTTTAAAAATGTAGATAAATGCAAAAAAACAAAACAAACAAACTGAAACAACACCTGAACCCCATTGATTTTCATTGTATGGAAAAAGCAACAGTGAGACTTTTTTTTCTTCTTCTTCAAAATATCACCTTGTATGTTCCACGGTAGAAAGTCAAAAGGGTTTGGAATGACATGACATTTTTTGGTTGAACTATCACTTAAAGGGCGTGTTCACACTTGTCATGTTTGGTTCGATTAAAACGAACCCTGCTGCGATTGCTCTGTTAGTGCGGATCGTTTGAGTAAGTGTGAACGCTGCCATCCGAACCCTGGTGCGCACCAAACAAGCGGACCGAGACCCATCTTTCTCAGTCCGCTTGTTTGGTGTGCACCAGGGTTCGGATGGCAGCGTTCACACCTTCCAAACGAACTCTGGTGCGGTTCGAATGAAATATGAACACAACACGGACCAAATACTTCTAAACAAACCAAAAACAGGAAGTAATGACAAGATGTGACGCTATGCGACATGATTTGACGACACGGTGTAACCAAAACAAAATGAGCAGAGGGCAAACATAGAGCAACGATGAGGTAAAGTGCCTTTTATGAGCTCCTTGTGAGCTTGCAGGTGGTGAAAATAAAATTAAATGTACACGCAAGAATGAGAGCGCTTAGTCCAGCTGACGGCATTAGGTGTGTTCGACTTAAAGCGGCGCAGAGCAGACCGATAGGTTAATGGGTGCTTTAATATCATACACCCGCAGTGCCGCTTTAAGTCTAACACACCTTTTGCGTGGGGTGTTCGGTAAGTTCCGTCACGATATACACGTCATTCAAGCCGACCAATCAGGTTGTGAACGTATCACTATGCCTTTAGGTTTGGTGTCTTTAGGTCCGCTGTAAAAAATGCCAATGTGAACGCTAAGCGAACCAGGACCAAATGTATAATTTTCCTTTTTGGTCCGGACCAAATGAACCAAACGAACCGAACTACAAGTGTGAACACCCAAGATAGTCTGTTAGGGTGTTTTCACATATAGTTCATTTTAAAAGAACCAAACCCAGTTCACTTAAAGTGAACCAGAAAGGGAACCAGCTGAAAGTGACCTCAGTCCTTTTGGTGTTCACAATCTAGTGGACTCAAAAGAGAACCCAGTTCTTTTTTTGGTCCTCTTCAGCAATGAAGAGATCTCAGACCCTTTCTTGTTCACACCACAACTTTAGAAGAACTCAGACCCCAGCTTTCTGTGCAGCAGTGGATTTTGGGTATTCAAGATGGCGTCTTCACGTGTTGTCATCACATGGATGGGGCACATTTTGAAGCAAATGACAAACAGAGAAAGAGTCAGACAAAGCAGAACTAAAGAAAATCATCTGAAAATTGTAGCACGGTTCTGTTATATCCCCTTTCCTTCATTTTTTGGGCAAACAAAAGAAACACTTTTATGTTTTTATGGGTTGAGGAGAGTTGGCGTTTAATGTAATCATCTTTCCAAATTTCAATAAGTGCACATCTCTCCTCCTGGGACCACACAACCTCACGACCTGCCATGGTGAAAAGTTTTTTCTGTTGTTACAGCAGTGACGTAACATGGCTGCAGGTATGGCAAGCCTCCAGGTACACATGTCGAAACAAAACCGAACCGGGATCTCATTGCTTTCGCATATCACGAAGATATCGAACCACAAACGGACCCACAAACGAACCGGTTCGCTTTTGGGTCCTTTTAGGGGGGTCTGAGATCACATGGTTTGTTCACATATACACGCTGAACCGCTCCGAGAGCGTTTGAAAGGGTTAAACGAACTAGGTGTGAAAACACCCTTAATGTCCTAATAGCCATTTTAGATGTTTGACTTTAAAACATGAATTTGACCAGGGTCTTTGCAGAACAAACTCTTACACATTCTGTTTGCCAAAACTCTGACCTCTCCCCTGCTTTTAGACGCTGCGAGCGAGTAAGTTGCCCCAACTTCCAGCAGTGCCAGACCATGCCATTACGCATTACGTACTACCAGCTGAGCTTCCAGACTAACATCATCATCCCAGCTCAGATCTTCCGCATCGGACCCTCGCCCGCCTACTCGGGTGACAACATCATCATCAGCATCCCGCGAGGAAATGAGGAAGGCTACTTCAGCACACGGAAGCTTAACAGCTTCACGGGTGCAGTGTACCTGCACCGGCAGGTGCGGGAGCCGTGGGACTTCCTCATTGACGTGGAAATGAAGCTGCTGCGTCAAGGAACTTTCACAACTTTCCTGGCCCGCATCTATGTGTTCATCACAGCAAACTCCATGTGATATTACACTCGTCTAATGATGCCTTTGATTCCGCATGGTGCTAAACTCTTCAAGCTTTTGGCTTGAAGTTGTTTGTCATCTGGCAGATCTTTAGGCTTCTGTTTGCCTAATGGATTTTGCTTAGAGAGACTTTGATGGGACTCTCCCACTGGGATCCAACCTCTTTTTTTGAGTAGAGTTAGAACAAACAGGATGGAGTACAGAGACTGACAGAAACATTTGGCTTTAAAAAGTCCTGGTTTTTCCTCTTCACATTTTGAAAGTACTCTACACCAGCTGCTATTTATACTGTATCTTGATTGCCTGAAACTTCTTTTTATAGCACTTCATTATTTTTCTAACAACACTATGTTTCTCCTTGGGGGTTGGCAGAGTAGAGCTGAGGTAGAGTTACACATTTGTAATGGCTGTCACAGTTGCTTCTTAGGCCGTTCAAGTACTGTGCCATTTAAACATCAAGTAATTTCACAGCTCATTCGAAATAACTGATAACTTGAAAATGTATCCGTGATAATTCACATGAGTACCTCAGTTCAGAGCAGACCAGCCTGCGAAAGAGAACATGTCTGTAATCATTGCGTTAAACACTTGCAATTAAAGAGGTGTATGATTGTTATTATTATTTCTAATGTTTGTTTCAAATGCGCTTCCTTTGTAGCTCTTGGTGCTAATATACCTTTTTGGAAACATTTGACACACATACATGAAGAGTGTGTGAGCTCCAAAGCAGCACTGAGAATGTTTTCATTGTTATACGTCTTTTCGTATGTCTTTACTTTGTAATACTGGACCTGTTTTGATGTATTACTGTCTTGAAAATCCATCTCAGGGTTAAAGCATAAAATCATCTCGATATACTCTCTAACGCACAGCATATCTGAAATCATAACAAAATTCTACTCATTACCGAGAAACATATTAGGTATCAACATAAAAGCGTTTCATTCTCAGATTCGTGGAACAACCAAATGCATCAGTGTAATAATGCAGTACATATTATCTGCCTTAGTGGATTCAGTTCTTCAATAAAGCAACATCAATCCTTTTATTAGTATCTTAGTGATTATTTCAGATGTTTGTCACTTCATTTGTTTGTTCTGTCTGATTATTTTATTAAAAGTAAAAGATCACCTCCTAGTGGGGAAAAGAGGAACTATAGCTTGTGGCCTGAGGCTCACTTTGCTTTCGGCATGTTGCATTAGCAAGAAACCACCATCAAATTTTATGATGATATAATTGCACTAGTAATTAAGCATTTTATTGTAATATCAAATGCATTTAAAGTCAACTTGAAATCAAAGTTAATCCATGTTCCTCCTGGTCTTTTTGTGAACAATTTCTAAAAAGAAAAAAGGATTTTTCTTTGTGGGCTTTTGAGAATGTTAATCAATTGCTTTTGCCACATAATTAAAAGCAGGCAAAAGCACGCACATCGATCTCAACTGGGTGCTTGACTAAGAAACAAGTGGAACAATTTTTTTTATGTAAAGTCGGCAACAGCAAAGCTCCAAAAATATAAAAAAGTATTTTTTTGATACTTTTGGAGCTTTGGTGTTGCCGACTTTACATTAAATTTTTTTTGCCACATAATAAAAAACGGATAAAAAGGTCAATTCTGTATATCTCACAATTCTGACTTTTCTTCTCGCAATTCTGAGTAAAAAAGTAAACCGACTTTTTATCTCACAATTCTGACTTTTTAATTCTCTCAATTGCGAGTTTATATCTCACAATTCTGACATTTCTTCTCAGAATTGTTCAACCATGTTTTGGCCAAATCTTAGATTGTCTGATTCGGTCTGATATCCTACACGTGACATGTGGCCAAGTATGGTGAAATATACTCGGAATTAGTGCTCTGCATTTATCCCATCCAAAGTGCACATTTTTTAGTTTGTGAACAATACGAAAACAAAATTGTTAGATGTAAAATAAGAATTCTGAGAAAAAAAAGGCATAAACAGAACTGTGGGAAAATCACAATTCTGAATTTATATCTTGTAATTTTGAGAAAAAAGTCAGAATTGTGAGAAAAAAAAAACTTTGAATTGCGAGATAAGTCATAGTTACTTTTTAAAAATGTTTTTATAATGTTTTTAAACAAAAAAAAGCCACTTTGCACAATCTGAACAAATACCAATGAATAAAAACTGCCGTTCCCCATATTTTCTCATTAAATGTTCTGTTTCACTCAGAACTACATCATATTACAAAAGTAAAATGAGTTGCAAACAGCATTTCACTGTCAGGAAATTGCATAAAGACCAAAAACAACTCTGTACTATGTGTTGTCATTTATATTGGAAAGGTGGGCTGTTTTCAGCTTTTGCAAAAGCCTGCAGAGTCTAGGTGTTTTGCTCTTTAACCCTCTCATTGTGCTTTCCATCGCAAATTCTCATCAGACCTTAGCACTATCATTTTCTGTCACACCCTGGAGGCCGCTCAACCCTGCCTTTCATTGTGTAGGTATCGGAAAAGGGTGTGCATTGTTCAAAGCCGGCAGCATGGTCGTGTATGTCGTACATCCCTACAGATAACCTCTGGCTGCTATCGGCTAAGTGGGATGAATGATACAATTCGTCAGCTCAACAACATGCCGTAAATCACACCTAAACTAGCCTGGTTTAAAAAAAAACACCAGTCAGGAAGTATGTGTGTAGTAATTGCTGTCGAGAGCATGTTTATACCTAATAATGACTTTTTATAAAAATGACTAAATATCAAAACAATTACAATAAGATTCATATATCACTCTGACAGTAATATGACCATAGATCACTTCGTGAACACAAACCCGGAGCAGTAACGTCTTGGTTAAGTATGGTAACCCTCGTTCCCTGAAGGAGGGAACGGAGACGTCACGTCGGATGACCGACGAAATTGGGATCTTGCTTAGAGGCACACCGTAAATCACATTGAAACCAGCCTGGTTTAAAAAATCAAACAAACAAACAAAAAAAACCCCCACTATGTCCAGGAAGTAAGCGTATCGCAATTGCTATTGAGAGCATATTTACACCTTATATTCAATGACATGTCTTATTATACAGAATGGCTTTAATAAAAGTGACTACATATCAAAACAATAACAATAAGATTCATATATCACTCTGACAGTAATATGGCCATAGATCACTTATGGAGCAGTTGCAATACGTTCCATTTGATAGTGTCGCAATCGCACAGTCGAGGCAGTCGAGGCTCAAACACTTCCGGCCATTGAGATGCCATCCTACACACACTTAGGAGTGTGCTGCTTCTTACAGATTATCGTCTTCCCTTTTCATGCTTATCAGTGAGACTAAAAATACATTATTGTGTTTTTGGGAAACAAGTGTTCAGCCCAAGGAGAGGAAGCCACTGAGAGACACATTGGCTATTCCTATGATAAAGATGCTCAAAGGAAGTTATGAACCTTATGATAATTTTCACACAAAGTCTTGATGACTCTATCAATTTGATAATACCTAGAATATCAAAATCAACTGCGGGCGGCAGATCCTTTTCCTATTTAGTGCCCAAACTCTGGAATAACCTACCTAATATTGTTCAGGATGTGTGGTGCGGAAGGGTCGACACAAAGTACGCGTCCTTCAGGTCGACCGCTGCAAACCAATCTCGGGGACGGATGCACCCGAAGATGCGTTCCTGCATCAACATCTTGAACGGTAACCGGTGAAGGGCCCGGTTCAAGACACGCAGGTCCAAGATTGGTCGTAACCCACTGCCTTTCTTGGGTGCAATGAAGTAGGAGCTGTAAACGCCAGTAGGACTGCAACCTCCACCCGCAAAACAGGACCATCGGCCACCTTCACTGTTGTGAAGCAGATGCCACTGATCATGTGTACTGTATGTCCAGGACAGCAAATTGGATTCAGAAAAGTTAAATTTCACTGGGAATTTTTTTTTCTTGTCCTCTTGTCTTTTTTTTTATTTTCCAACAATACTTGTAATTTTAATTGAACATAAGATATACCTGTCTGTCACAAGGCCTGTCACAATCGTGTTCATGCAAATCAGCTGTGCCGATGCTGCCTAATAGAAAATGACAGATTCTCTGTACCTCTGATAAGCAACATCACAAACAACTCTATAAACTGTGTTCCTAGATCCCTGGAGCACAGTGGCGCTTGATACTATTATGAGGGAGTAATAAACATTAGCACCAGACCTGTGGTTAGTCCCGCAGGAGATGAGATAAGGCCATGGACACCAAAGTTTAGCAACAGAGACCTCATATTAAATGTATAGGTCATTACAGCAGCTAATAGCAAACAGTAGTGACTCACAGCTATGGCTACATCTGTGTCCAGTGACCTCATATTCTCAGTTTAGAGATTCAAAGAGCTCTAAACTGGCCAGTTTGATGGCACATACCGTCTGATACTAGACATGCATCAACCTTAAGATTCTATACATTGTATCAAAAAGTAAATAAAAGACACCACATTGACAACTATAATTTACTCCGTAAACAGTTTGTGGACTGATGCCCGACTTTTCATTATTAAAAATCATATAGTTTTATTCCAGTTACAAAAAGAAATAAAATGTTATAAAAAGTTTCAGCTATAGAGACACACTAATATATATCTATTAGTTTAATGTATTAGTTTATTTTTTAACTTTGATGTAAATGGATTTAACTGGATACATTTAAATTAGAACTAAAATGGATTTAAATGAAAATCCAATTTAAGGAAAGTTAATGAAAATGCATACATATACTCTTAATAACATGCAAAATAATGCTATATAATAAACCTTATCATCTGCCCACCCCTACATCTAGGCAACCATAATAACCAAGGTCTCTTAGCATGCCATGTTTGGTTGAGAAGAAAATATGACTTAATATTGTACAATTTACTATGACTTATGCTACTAAAAATATACCTACTGCATATGGGCCTGACTATATGCACATAGATTAACTGCTTAATATGTTCTAGGACACATTATCAAACAGATGTGTTGATGAAAGGCATCCATTATTTGCCAAGTAAGGTTGTAGGTCATGGATTTGCATATTTAATGACAAAGTGAGTGACATTTTCTCCTTCAAATGCTTAGTGCCTTAATGTTTCTAAGCCAGCTGGCGAACCAAAAACTTTTTTTTTTGCACAAGCAAATCAATAAATCAATTTTGTCAGAGCTTCCTGTGAGTTTTTTTTTTTAGCCTGTTTTGCCCAAATCATTTTTTAAATCTGCAGACAGAACAAGGTCCATCTTATCAGAGCAAACAAACAGTGGTCTAAAATGAAACTGAACAGCTGTCCTAGCAAGGGCAACAACCCCACTGCACTGTCCGCATGGCTGTTTTCCTCCATCTGGTTCACGGCACATAATCATAAGACTCTTAACAGGCCTTTTAGTGCTGTTTTGACTGACAGCGTCCTGATTAAAACAAGCTTGCACATGTTGAGACAACTCCCCAGACCAATTACAAATGACCAGCTTATTATTATAGCTCCCATTTCTTTTTTTCCCACCAACTTCATCTCCTCAAACAAATTTGGGCCGTATCCCCCTTGGGCCGTATCCCCCTCATATATGCTGGTTGTTTCACTTTCGTTTGAAAACTGCTTCTGAAACCGTATTCCCAAAACATTAATTTGTGTCAGCGTCTGTTTTTGTTATCCACTGCGTTCTAAATGATTCTCTATGTTTGATCCCTGTGTCCTAATAAAAGTGGCTGCTGCCAGACAAATGCTCCTTTAGGGTACTATAAACAGAGAAGTCGATCCATCAGGGGAGGTTAAAATTTGCACAAGACGACAGAGATGAAGGAGGGCATGAGGGAAATAAATGAAGCCTGGAGAAACCAGGTCAGACCTGACAGGTCAGAAATAGCCACTGTCCTCCCGAAAGCTCCCAACATTTATCACAGGAGACTGGTCAAGACTTCCGAGGGGTGAGTCAAGTAGATTAGCCTAAGAAAAATGCTGAAGCATATTCATGCCAGTGAGCATGTCTGAGAAGGTACATTCTGGCAAAGACAGACGTAAAAGAGGCGCCTGCTGATTCGTCTG